GTAGTTTTTCATAAAATTCATCGATTTTAAAAATTCCAACGGATTTTAAAAGACGAATAGACAACCTTCAAAGGCATGTAAGCGACTTTTTCGTTTCTTAAAAAAAACATATTTTTTTGAACATTTGAAGTAGAGGAAATGATGAAAAACTGTCGGATAGGAAAAATCACAAAAAATGGAAAGTAAAACAGATTCTGTCGATTATTATTTATTTGAAAGGTAGTCAAAAGTTATAAAAGTATATGGAAACAGTAAAATTAACTCCACAAAAACTTTACAAAGTTTTAATCAGTTGCTGTGCAAGAACAGCAAAAGTGAAATAATTGACCAAATCTTAAACAATTATATATGAAACAGGGGTAGAATTTTCCGGGGAGTGCTATAAAGTGTATAATTTTTCGTTACCGATTTTCACAAAAAATCTGAAATATACTTTACTGTGGTAAATGTCGAACGTAAACGGCCAAAGGGGGTAATACGTTACCCCAAACGATTTTCTTTTTCGGTTTTCAGCTGCTGCACGGATCTAACGCACTCGCTGAATGACGGAGGTCGACTGCCGGATGACTAAACTGAATTATGATTAGGGTCTCGGTATGAAAACTAACCTTCCTAAGGCAGGGGCGCAATTTGAATTTCGCGTGGGGCAACGTATTACCCCACATTACCTTTCTAGGGTTAAGTACTAGCTAGTTACCCAGGCTTCTCCCGGGAGTCGTTTTTCTTAAACGACTTTATTTCTGTTTCAATATCCTTATTGTAGACAAACATAAAGAGTGTTTATGGATTAAACATGTCGTAACCGGTCTTTTTCTACTCAAGTTTCACACTATTGAGTCATTTTCGCTTTTCCGATATTTCACTTACCGATCAGCGGCAATTCCGTCGTGTACAATTCTTTAAAATTCACTCAATTATTTCCTAAAAAATTGGAAAAATTTTGTAATAAATTTTCAAAAAGATCGGTAACAAAAAATTATACACTTTATGGCACTCCCAGAGAAATTCTACCCCTGATTCATATACAATTCTTTAACATTCGGTCAATTATTTCCCGAAAAATTGGAAAAATTGGAAAAATTTCGGATACCGGTTCCCAAAAAGATCGGTAACGAAAAACTATAATTTTATAACACTCCCCGGAAAATTCTACCCTTATTTTATATACTTTTGGTAAAAATTCCGTCGACTAGTTTAAGAGTGTATAAAGAACATACATACATACATACATATATACATACATTCTATCTATATATATAAAAATGTATGTATGTATGTATGTATGTCCTTTATGTACTCTTAAACTATTCGACTATTCGCGATGATTTTGATTAGAACGCGGTTAACATGAAATTCTTTACATTCTTTGTGATGATGTAATACTTTCTCGCTTTCTATATATTTTCTCGCTTCAATATATTTCTTGGTCGAAAAAGTTAATTACGCGTATTGCTGAGAAATTAAATGCAAAATTAAATTAAATTTAAATGTAATTAATATTTTATTCAACGTAATTATTTATTTTTTTTTTATATAATTAATAACACGCTTTTGTTAACGATCGTAACAATTCGTAATTGACTATAACTTTATAATTTGCTGGCTCTTATAATCAGCCGGTATCGAAGAAGTTTGTTCTCCTTCTCATTCTCTGGCTAATATACAGTCAGAATGCGGATTTAGTCAGGAAAATTACGATTTATATGTATAAAGTAAAGTTTATATTGACCAAAATAAAAGTGTAAAGTTTGTAAAATAGGTGCATACTTGTGAGAAATAGTATGCAATTATGTGATATACGATTGAAAGCTAATTAACTTGCTCGCATTAAATTGCGAGCGCCCATATCTTTAAAATTATTGTCCATATTTTGCATAATCGCAGTTATAAATAATTCCGCTGGATTCTGGATTTAACCAATATACAATCAGGGACACGATTAGATATCCATCGTATCTGGAGTTTTACTTCACATTTGTGCAGTAAGAATATGGGTAGGTAGGAATACATGAATTGGTAGGCACAAATAAATAAAAATACGAATTAACAGAAAAATATACGAATAAAAATACGGGTAGGTATATATATAGGGACTAAACATAATAACTTAATATTTTAATGATTAAAATTTTGAAAATTGAATGACTTGGTCTACTGGCATAAGTGCCAGATTCATAACTCGAATCGCGAGAACTCGGGTTTGAGTCCATCTGACCACAGTTTTAATATTTCGTCTCTCAGAAGAAAGACGTTAAGCTGTTGATTCTTCCATACGTAGCAATTAGACACTGCTACGTGTGACTTCAGTAACAAAAGGAGGGATACATGTGTTGTATATTGTATCATACTCCTTTCAAAGTATTTTGTGAAAATGTATATGTTAAAATTAGTGTTTGCTTCGTCTCCTTTCGTTTATGTAAGTCACGTTGTCTGTTCGTTGATAAATTTCTAATCCGCAATTCGTAATCCGCAATATTGCTGCCCATTGCAAATTTATCAACGAACAGACAACGTGACTTACGTGAACGAAAGAGAGCCGAAGTAGACACTAATGACGAGTAATTCACTTTGCATATGTGATACTACATAAGAGCAAGGTATATATTATGAATTTAATATATATTGACTTTTTACACAAAATTTTCCATTTATTTTATGTCAAATTTATATAACTTTAGTTTATATTATATATATTTTTTTTGTAAAATAGTAGGAGAAACCGGGGCTAGAGTTCATACGCTTTTTTAAAATAATTTTTTTACACGTAATTAATAAATAGAATATGTTTTTGCAGAAATAGTATATTTTTTATACAGTATTATCTTTTGTCATTTTTACAACAGTTACCGTATACCAACTTGTCCCAACTAACTCTCCAGTCTCTTCTATGTATTTATTTATATTTCTAAGACAGATTGACACAAAAGTGATCGAGGAATATAAGCATGAAAAGAAAAGTTTCTTTATAGTTTTAAATATTTAGTGTATTATGTTTATTTCAAAAAGTATTCCGTAAATTAAGGTGCAATTAGAAAGTATAATTTCTTGAGTTTTTCTTTATATATATATATATATATATATATATATATATAAGTATATATATATACGTATAACACTTGTTTTAAAAATACCATAATGGTTCAATGTCATATATAGGCTTGCGTGATCGACACATGATAATATTTATTAACGACTCTAATCGTTTACATAACACGGAGTATTTATTGTGACATTAAATAACGATATAGATTAGTTATTACTTCTAAACCCCAGGATTCGGTTAATTATTACTGGGAAGCGAAGGAGGCTAACCAGTGGAAGGGGGTATAAAAGGACGCAAGCAGATACTTACTCTGTCACTCTCGCTGGTCTGTACACGCGCACTGAGGCGCGTGCCACGAGTCGAACGTACTTTTTAATGGCTCAGGATGGATTAATGTCCCGTAGGAACTCTAGGACGACGCCTTTCTTCCGTGAGCGGTGCGATCGTTGCTCCTCTTTTAGATCAAGTTAATCATTTTAACTTAGGATCGGACTTGTGCGATTTTGAGAGCGGGATGAGTAGTGGGTGAGGTCTTAGTTTAATATAAATAAAGATGAAAAATTAGATATAAAACATTTATTAAAAATATATAACTAAAGTATCGACATTACAAATAAGTGAAAATTAGACAAATTAAACGCAAAATCAAATCTACGATAAATTTAAAAGTGGGATGTATGTGTGAGTGTATAAATTATTTGCGAGTGTTACATTTATTCGGAGAAAATCGGGCAAGATTTCTAATGGGAAACTTAAACTGAAATTAACATTCTGTCCGCTATTAATACAATTAAAATTTTAAATAAATTTACATGATTTCTAAGTGTGTGTGTGTGTGTGTGTGTGTGTGTGTGTGTGTATGTTCGCGGATCAAAATTAAACTAAATCACAAAGATAAAAATATAAAGAAATGTTCGCGAGGTGAAAACAGAGAGGATTTATGCATGGAAAATAATCAAGAATACTGCCATTAAAATAAAGTTTATTAACAATAGGAACATGTATATAATAAAAACTGTTCGGAGATTCTTATATATCTTTTTTTAACAATTAATGTTATCATATCCGTAATCATATCCGAGTTTTCTTGCACAGTAAATTGTAATATAGATTATTTTCTTCTGCGTTTCATTAAAATTTTTTTTGTCAACACAAAAACATTTTTACAGATATCAGAAACAAAATTAACATTGAATTGCTAAAGCTATTGTTAACTAGCAGCATAATATTTTCGTATTCTCTTTATACCGTTTCTGAATTTTCGGAAAATTATTCTCCTCTCTCTCTCTCTTTCTCTCTCTTTCTCTCTCTCTTTCTCTTTCTTTCTTTCTTTCTCTCTTTCTCTGTTAAAACCCGTTTACTGAACTAGTACCGCAGCATGACATTATGACATTTATCTAGTTCAAGAAGCATTTATGTAACAACATATCTTTTAATGGCAGATGCCATATTCTTATTAGAATTGATCGTCTAACACTGAATTAGTATATTGTGCACCAAGGGGCGAAAGTAGTGTTTTTCAGACGAGTGTGAAGTTTGTCGCCCGAGCCGAAGGCGAGAGCGGCAAATCACACGAGTCTGAAAAAGCTTTCGACCCGAGGTGCACACGATATTTTTCACAACACCTCTTTACGGAAATGTTCGACTTTTGAATGCCTGTAGAGTGTATGCGTTTGATGCTCCATTCATACAGTTTATACGCGCACGCGCGTGTAGTTAAATAAAAAGAGAAAAAGAGAGTGATGTGGGGTCCAGAGACGAAGCCCTGGTGGAGCCCAGGAGTAAAGCCCTCGGTGGGGTCTAGGGGCGAAGCCCCCCACATAAATAAATTAAATTAAAATAAAATTAAAAAAATATATAAATAATTTTAATTTTAAAATGACAATAAAATTTTCAAAAAATGTAAAAAACATAATTTTTAGAATATAAATATATCATTAGATGTATTCCTCCTTAGGGCAGAAAGTGACCACTTTCGTCTCTGTTTAGTGGGAGGAAAGTAACAACTTGAGTATTATATATTCTACATACGGACTATTTGATCACATCAGATAATGAGGTAGGAGGCTTGTTCAAAACTTTCCGACAACTTGATTACTTTCGTCCCTGTTTAGCGGGCGGAAAGTAACAACTTTCCTCCCTGGCGTGAAATTGGCCACTTTCGTTTCTCTCTACAGGCATGGAAAGTCGAACTTTCCGTGGAGGTGTTGTAAAATATATATTTACATGCGCAATGGCCACAAATATATAAATTATTCTTTTCTGTATAATGTGAAATTAAAACTCCTATACATCGAAGGCTTATACACACGACAAAGAAAGCTACATTTTGAACATTTATTTGGGGGGGAGGGTATAACATTATTATATGAGTATTATATATTCTACATACGGACTATTTGATCACATTAGATGAGGTAGGATAATGAGGTAAGATAATGAGGTAAGAGGCTTGTTCAAAACTTTCCGACAAATGAAACAGGACTTTTAAGTTAAGTAAAGTACATAATTAATGCATTGCTTATTGAAATTAAGAATTAAATTAAAAATTTTATGTTATATAAGAAATAATTCTGAGCAAAAGAAACTATGCAATATTCGTCTTAATTTCTTTTACACTATAATAAAGAATAAGCCCAAGTCCCACAACCAACTCTCAACCAAACTGTATCGGTCCGCAGCGGGGGCACTCGAAGACGGTCACTCCTCGTGCCCGGCACCCAGAGCAGAACTTGTTTCGCCGGCGGGGGTGCGGGCAGTATCTAAAAAAGTAATAGATTTCCACAAAGCAACTCCAGCAGCCTCTTCTCGAAAACATTGATGTGTTCCGCCGCGATGGGAGTGGCACCGCGATCTGCGTGCCCACCGATTTGGTCTTCCTTGTGCCATAACGCCGTTCCATTCTCCTCCGGTCCTCCAGAGTGAACCTGTCCTCCGCGAACCATCTTAAGAAACAAATTTAGTTTAAAAAGAGTAATAAAATTTTGAATTGGATATACGAATATAATTTTTAAAACGATTATTTGTCGTCAGACAGCGCTACGCAAAGGTTGCTCGGTGTTTGTCGACAATTTGTTGGCAGACAACGCTAGACAAAGCTTGCTCGGTATTTGCCGACAATTTGTTGGCAGACAACGCTACACAAAGCTTGCTCGGTTTTTGCTGCCAATTTGCTGTCTGGTTATGTACACAGGCTTTGCTAGCAAAATACGAGCTTAAAGATGACACAGATGGCACCGGATTTGACACCAATCTTTGAACAAATTTGATGCCATCTTGGCGACAATTTGCTATCAAATTGCTTACTTGCACACCCTGGATGTCTGCACACCCTGGTCTATCAGAAACAAGGGCTCGAGTACTTCCGGGGCCGCCGTGTCCGTCTGCGCCTTCTCACAGTCCGCCCTTTCAGTCTGGACGCCCTGGTCCCTCTGGCGTGGGACCTCGTGTACGATTACGCCCTCCTGGGCTCTCAGGGCCTTCCTCATCATCTCCAGGGTTCGGCCCAAGGCGTCCCAGAACTCCGAGTCGGCCTGGTCGATGGATAGCCACGCGTCCAGATGGTCTATCCAAAATGCGGACTATACCCTACGGACAAATCGTCGAGCCTCATTCCATCGCGGTACTACGCCTTGTAACTCTCGGTAATTCCTACGGGTCAGGGGCAGGAGGTTAGTACGGCTTGATATCTTTGACATGAACCTTTCCGATGGGCGTTCTGTCCAGCCGGGCTAACTCATACACGACTGGAGAGATCGCCTTCTTTAAAACTGGTACCAAGGTCTATCCGTAAAATACCATTCGGCTTTTCCAAAATCTAACGCAGTCCCGAACTTCGTCAAAAAGTCCATCCCTGTAATGCATACGGCCAAGTCTGGTAATAGGCCCACGGAAATTTTGCGGCTCCTGTCCTTCAGGTGGATTGGGAGCAAAACTTCATTACGAATCGGAGCCAACTGTCCGTTTGCCATTCGGATTTTGGTACTTCTTACGCGCGTGATCGAGATGCCTAAACTATCCACTATCTGCATCCCCTCGCGACCGATGAGTGTCCGGCTCGATCCCGAGTCCACCAATCCTAATAGGGAGCGGCCGCCTATTCGGATTTTAAAATATTGTATATAGCGGCGAAAATTTCGTGGAATCGAACGTCACGTATGAATGCAAAAGTTCATCAGGGTTGGTATTCGCGATTCGGGCCTCGTTCTCGACGATCGGGGCCGTAGGGACCCGTACTACGGACTCCCCGTCGCGTTTCCCGAACACGTAGTACATGTTCGCATCGTATATCCCCGTTTGCCATATCGGTAGCAATGTAATTGCCGAGCCTCCTTACAGTCGCGCGCGCGGTGCCCCGTCTTCTCACAATTCCAACATTTTATGTTGGCATAACTGGGGGTCGTTTCCGACGCGGTCTCGGTAAAAAGTGCGTTTGCTGCGGCGACGGCCGTGGTAGCGGCGGTCGCTGGGGCCTTTTCCTTTTTCGCGGTTTTCTGGCCGACGGCCTCCCCCGCGGCCACTGTACTCGGAGTTCGCGATTTACCCTTTGGGGCGCGATAAGCTAAGTCTGGAAAAATGGACTGATCCGGCGGCAAGGGCGGTTGATACATTTTATCCGCGAAGAAACTCCGTTCTAATCGCGTGGCCAAATCCTCCAACGTGTGAAAGTCGGAGAACTCAAAACGACGGATAGCCACCTGTAATCGCGCCGGTATTAGATTGCGATGTGCAAGCGTGAGCTGCTCTGGAAGAGACCACGGAGGGCTCATCGGCGCAAATAGTGCCCGTTAACATGTCAAATAATCGACCGCCGACTCATATTCCCCTTGCGTTCTTCGCAGTATTTCTTCCCGGAGGGTAAACAAGTAGTCCGGATCGCCGAACCTAGCTCGCCACGCGTGCTCGAAATCTCGCTAATCCCGCCAATTCTGACTTTCTAATCTGACCCAATATAACGCGGTACCCGATAAAAATAATGGCAAACATTTAAATAAATCGGCGTCGTCCACCAGAATAATGGCCCGGACCTCCTGAATGCGTAACAAAAATGCCTCCGCGTCGCTGCCGCGCTGTCCCGAAAAGTGGAGATTCCACTCCCGCATCAAATTATATGCCTCGGCCGCGGATCCGCGCGTATTTCGCCGGTCGGTCACGTGCGACAAGTACTCGGTTCGCGGGGTTGACGCCTGATGGTATTTTCCCCTCGTGGTCTCGGTCGTCATGGCGGTCGGCAGACTATATATATACGCCTCAAACTCGCGAAAAGATTTTCCCTACCCGTAAAGCCTTGTGTCCACGATGCTAGAACTGCGTCCGAGTTTTAGTTTAAGCCAATGAAACTGCTGCTTTTCTGTAAGAGCTGCAAGTTGATTGGCTTAAACCGAAACTCGGACGCAGTTCTAGCATCGTGGACACAAGGCTTAACTGGATCTCGCGGGATTGTCCCGCCGGTCTCCTGAGGGCTGGCGTTCTGGATCTCTATGTCAGGTGGCGGTGGGGGTGGGGGTTGATTATCCATTTCGTTAAAAGCCGATCCCTCGAATCTTATCAAACGCGAACGCAAAGTGGACAAAATACCGCCCGTATTCAACCCCCGATCCGCTAATTGTTGACGTGCTTCTTTTAAAGTTAATCGGTTAATCCACCGATATGGTGAATCTTCTTCCCGCATTCCACGGGGCCTCACCGTTTTTCCCCAACCCTCTCGAAGGGGTTTTATTTTTCCCGCTGGAGGACTGTCGCACGCGAAACAAAGACTTTCTACCTCCTCCTAAAACTCCGCAAAGTTGAACAAAACGTATGCTAGCCGCAATAATGTCGATCGCTATTATTCCTCACGAACTTATCTTGAACCGAGTCGACAACACTCCTGAAGTTGTAAACACGAAGGAATTCGGCGCAAGAAATAACAGAAAAACACGACGCTCGAGTACCGGTGATACGCTAATCAAAATAAACCCGCTTTCCCTCGGCAACCCGCACAACAATTATGGCACCAAAATTCCAGGGCCCGGATTTCCATTTAAATTAATCGTTTAAATTAACAATAATTTGGAGGGGTTCAATCATCCACACCATACAGAGAAACACACATAAGCACAAAATAAATTTTTAATTGCGCACACTCTCTCTCCCGATCTTACCTCCGATTTAATTTAATTCGTCCTTGCCACGCGAGAGCTTTAATTCTCGGGCGAGAGGCCCCACGTTGGGCGCCAAAATTTTGCGACGACGTCGATGACCTCTCGGTCTCGCTAGCCGAAGGGGCGCTGCCGCAAATTACTCTAAATTACTCAAGAATCTATTATCCCGCAATGGTAGTTCGATCCGGTATACTTTTCCAAGCTCGACATGGGCGTCACACTGAAAAAAAGACTTGGTTATAATAATCCAGGCTTGGTTAATGTGACCAAGCCTCCTGGTGAAATAGCTTCAACTAAACGTATAGGTGAATGTGACGAAATAATTTGGTTAATGTTAACAGATAATTTTATAGCAAAACCTGATGTGATTTGGTTAATATTGACTTGATAATTATTACCAAGTAATAATAAATGTAACCAAACAATTTGGTAAGTATAAACTGATAGTTTATTAATAATTATCAAATAGTTTAGAAAATATTGTCGAACTAAGTCTAATAATTATAACAAAATGAGTTGCTAAATGTAAACAAATTTTTTGTTAATAGTTATTAAATTTTGTATATTATATATCCGAGCATTCGTACCTATATACTCGTTCATCACTCTCGAAAATACATCGTAAAACAACAATTTTTGCGAAAGTACATTGTAAAGTTCTAAGAAATTAGTGAATTAGAAAATCTTCTCTTAATTTGGGGACTTAAACATCTCGCTGAGGCATTAAAAGGTTAACCTTTCAAAGGTTAACCTATAACACATCAATGAGATGTTTAAGTCAAATTAAGAGAGAATTTTCTAATTCACTCATTTTTTAGAACTTTACAATGTACTTTCGCGAAAACTGTACAGTTTTACGATGCACTTTTGCGAGTGATAAACGAGTATGTATAGCACGAATGCTTGCATCGACGAACATGTATGAACTGGTTCAGGCTCATAAGACAAATGCAGCACGATCGGAACAATAAACTGACAGCTTTCGTAAAGAATAATCTGAATTAGCAATACTTACTAAATTTATAGTAATATTTACTAAATAACCAAATTGCTTACTAACCCACACAGCATCGAAATATTTCAGAAAACTTTCAAAAAACTGTCAATGAAATATGAAACCTTTCAAAAAAACATTTTAGACATGTTTCAGATATGTTTCAGAAAGCTAAAATGTCCGCCAAGCTGAGATTTTAGAAATGTTTCTAAAATCTCAGAAATATTTCTGAAATAATTCTGAAATGCTTTAGAAATATTTCTGAAATGCTTAAGAAATATCTCTGAAATGCTTAAGAAATATCTCTGAAATGCCTAATAAATATCTCTGAAATGCTTCAAAAATATCTCTGAAATGCTTCGAAAATATACGGGAAATATTTCAGATAATACTTTTTCTCATATCAAATTGTTTCGGATCACCCTGTATAGGATCATCCGGAACAATTTCCTATCCTTCGTAAAACATATTCTTGATCATAGTCATGATTTTGCTTCGCCGAAGGCCTGCTTATATTAGATCCCAACTGAAATTTACTTGCGAGTTAGTCTTACTATTATGCGCCGCCTAGCGGCGTCGTTGCATAATTCTCTGAAATGTTTCGTAATATTTCAGTGAAAAAGGTTATAAATGATTTCGATGAAACGTTTCAGAAATACTTCTGAATAATTTCAATGTTACGTTTCAATATTATTGTCCGAGTTATCTTTCGGAAAGCTTTCAATGATATGTATTTTAGACATTACGTACAAAATATTTTTCTAAAATGTTTTGTAATATTTCAGAAATGTTTCAGTGAAAAGGGTCATAAATGATTTCGATGAAACGTTTCAGAAATACTTCTGAATGATTTTAATGTTACATTTTAATATTAATTGCCAAGTTATTTTTTGGAAAGCTTTCAGTGATATATGATTTTCATAAAACGTTTCAGAAATATTTCTGAATGATTTCAATTATACATTTCAATATTAATTTCCAAGTTATCTTTCGGAAAGCTTTCTGAAACAAGTTTTGTTGAGTGGGAAATAATTAAGTAGCTGTCAACAAACCAATCAGATAAGGCTTTTTAAGACAAATTAGTACTAATTATCACACTGTGTGTTAATTATCACTGTTAAGTGGACCGCTCCGGGTTTTCGCGCGGCGAGCCGAGGACAGTTCAAAATAATTAGGTTCTCGTTTTGGAAAATGTAACAGTCAATTTATTAAAGTTTGTTACACAGCACTCGCTTTACATTCGCTCCGATTCGTGGTCCGTTTTCGATGTCGACAATCAGTGTCGCGTACGAATGGCTAGGGCGCACTTGGCTCACTGAGCTCCCGGCCGGAGCAAGCGAAGCGATCGCGGCCGGAGCTCCGAACTTTTCCGCGAGGAAACTTAGATACGTGAGAAACGCTGATTGGCTCCAAATCGTCGAGCGACCAGACTATTGGTCGCTGTACGAGCGATCACGCGATGTGCACCTGTGTTCCGGGCGCGAGCGAAAACACCAAAAAAACCGGAGGGAAGGCAAATAAACGTTTTGGAGCAAATCGAGAGTTCTCGAATATTCCCAACGCTCGCTTTCATTTTGCGAGCGTTAGATTTTCAACATGCCGCCCGCCTCGTATTCAACGGAATGCGAAACAAACGGGGTTGAACGAGGTCGCATAAGTGCGCACGCAATGAGAGCTGAAGTCTTATGATACATTTACTTATATACACTATATACACTTGAGAGCTTACAATATTTTGCCCAATGTTCTTAAGTCTAATGAGGAACAAAATAGTCTAGTTTAATGTTATTCTACGGGCTCCGTGGGCCCGATAGACGCAGGTAACCGACAGATCTGTGTTATTGGTCGTTTCAATTCGGAATTGGCGGTGCGTAATGTAACGACGCGAACGCGACCGTCAAGTCCGGGATGGACTTGTTGAATCCTTGCAAGTTCCCACTTCAAAGGAAGAAGGAGATAATTTTTTAGCAAAACTAACTCGTCAACCTTGAGATTATCGTGAGATTCGGTCCATTTGACGCGCTGTTGCAATGAATGTAAGTAGTCCGACGACCAAGAACGCCAGATCTGTTCGACCATGAGTTGCACGTGTTGCCATCGCGACAACCGATTCGCATTGATTTCGAGCAATGATTCCTCCGGTAGGCTGGTGAGCGGTCGACCGATGAGGAAATGACCAGGCGTCAACGCGGTAAAGTCGGACGGATCGTCGCTGAGGGGCGAAATCGGTCGAGAGTTGAGGCACGCCTCTATCTTACATAAAATAGTCACGAATTCCGAGCGAGACAGGGTACGGAGCACCGATCACCCGCTTGAGGTGGTGCTTAAAACTTTTAACGCCAGCCTCCCAAAGCCCGCCAAAATGTGGTGCCGCCGGGGACACAAAATGCCATTTCACACCGTCATTCGCGAGGATTTCTTTGAGGGAAGGGTCGTTCATAAGCAAGCGAAAGCTGCATTGTAGCTTGCGATCCGCACCCCGAAAGTTCGTGCCATTATCGCTGTACATGTCCGATGGCAGTCCGCGTCGACTGACGAACCGATGAAATGCGGCAAGAAATCCCTCGGAGGAGTAATCCTCGACAAACTCGAGGTGGATCGCTTTAGTGGCAAGACAAACGAAGACCGCCACGTAATGTTTGCTCCCCCTTTGACCACGGCCGACCACGGGGGTAATAATCATCGGTCCGGCGTAATCTATGCCCGTGTGAGAGAAAGGAGGAGAGGGATTGACTCGGGGGATTCGGGAGATCACCCATTAATTGCGTCGGCGTTTTCGCGGAGTATCGAAGGCAGGTAACACATATATGGATGTGAGACTTGATCATGCTTCTCGCCGAAATTATTCAATATGTCTGACGGAGACATCTAAGCGTGAGTTGTGTCCCTCCATGGAGGGAGCGTCGGTGAACTTGATCGATCAAAAGTTCAGAAATATGATGTCGCGGGAGTATGATCGGGTGTCGCTCATTGTAACTCAGCGCTGAGTTTTCGAGCCGCCCGCCTAGCCGGATTAGTAAATCTTTCCCGATAAATGGGTGGAGAGAGCGTAATGGACTTGTTCTCGATACGGTGGCATGAGCTTTTAAGGCCTTCAAGTCATCAGGAAAGCAGGTCGCTTGTACCGATCGAAACCAAAAGACCGAGGCTTCGTGGATCTCTTCTGCGGTCAAAGGCAACTTGACGATCGTCGATGAGGCGACTTTATTTTTTAAGTTTTGCACAAAACGGCGAATGTACGCGGTAATACGGAGAAGTCGGATCCAGCTCGAGCACGAGGTGAGCAGCTCCCACTCAGGAGTTGGATCGACGAGATGAACGGTAGCTTTGCGCGCTTCGGAAGATACCGTTTGCAAAATTTCCTTTCCGGTAAGAGTCGGGAGAATCGGCCACGAGGCCGGGGATTTTCTAAGCCACGGGGGGGCCTACCCACCATAATTCATGGTGTACGAGATCGATAGCGGTAGAGCCGCGAGAAGCGCAGTCGGCAGAATTGTCGTGCGTGCGGACGTGCTACCAACGTACTGACGGAAGGCGCGTCTGCACCTCGGAGACGCGGTTCGCGACGTAGGAATTCCACCGCGATGGATGTTGCTGAATCCAAGCCAATGCGATTTGGGAGTCAGTCCATCCGAATAATGACGCTTGCGGGAAGCGCAGGAAATTTTTTACCCAATCTAACAACCGAGTTAATAGTACGACGGCGTTAAGTTCTAATCGTGGAACGCTGACGGTTTTTAACGGCGCGACCTTCGTTTTGGCCGCGAGGAGAGTCACCTGAATATTCGTGGTAGAATGCACGATTCGAAGGTAAACGACCGCGGCGTAAGCTCGAGTGGACGCGTCCGCGAATCCGTGTAATTCCACTTCGAGTTTATCTTGACGTATCCCTGTCCATCGGGGAATGCGTATTTCACTGATATGAGGCAAATTCGTATAATAATTAATCCAATAAGGTAAAAGATCGTCGGGGATGGAAGAGTCCCAATCAATTTTACGGAGCCAGAGCTCTTGCATCAACATCTTGGCCGCGATGACGATCGGTGACGCCCATCCGAGGGGGTCATATAACCTTGCAATAAAACGGAACGTTTAGTATGAACAGTTACGGCGTAAGGCGAGATTACAAAGGTAAACGAGTCGTCATGCGGTGACCAAGACAGGCCGAGGACCTTGAGCGTGTCATCGCGATTGATCGGATAGTCCGAGGATTCACGTTGGTCCTCCGGGCTATCCGTCAACAGTTCGGGTGAATTCGCGGCCCATTTTCGGAGGGGAAAACATCCGCGATTCATTAGTCCGACGAGTTGCTTGCGTTTTTCGAGCAGAGACCGAAGGTCATCTGCTCCGAAAAGAACGTCATCGACGTAGGTCGATTCTTCGATTATTGAAACCGCGTCGGGAAAATATTTACATTTGTCATGAGCTAATTGAAGAAGGCAGCGCTGCGCGAGAAAGGGCGATGGCTTTTGGCCGTAAGTCACGGTGAGCAAGCGATACAGTCGAATCAACAGACTTGCGGGAGGGCGCCAAAGAATTCGTTGATAATCCGCGTCGTCACGATGCATGCGTATCTGACGGAACATCTTCGCGATGTCTGCCATGTATACGTAACGGAATAATCGCCAGCATAAAATTATTGCAGCGATGTCTTGTTGTAGTTTCGGTCCCGCCATTAGGAAATCGTTGAGAGTGGTTTTATCGTCCGATTTGCTCGACGCGTTAAACACGACGCGTAACTTAGTAGTCGTACTCGATTCGCGCAAAACGAAATGATGCGGAATGTACACCGGGGGGTATCGAGAAGGCTCGTCGTCGCGTACCTCTTCCATGTGCCCCATGGATTCGTATTCCTTGAGGAAATCGTGATACTGAGCGGCGATCTCGGGTTTCTGCGAAAGTCGGCGCTCCATTTTGGAGTATAAGAAAGAAGCCTTTCGAAAGGTGTCGCCTATGTGAGGGGGGCCGTTCTTGAAAGGCAAACGAACAATCTAACGTCCTTGAGAATCGCGAGAATGCGTACGAGCATGTTGTTTTTCGCAAAATGTTTTTCGCAACGTTCTTCCTCTTCGGTGAGAGGATTTTGAGAGGGGATACTTTCGTCCTCCCAAAAACTTTGGATCAATGAATTCGTATCCTCGCAGGATACGCAATTCAAAACGGAAGCGAACTCTCCAGCTGGGCGCGCGGTGTCAGCAGGACCGGAGACGATCCATCCGAAAACAGTAAGCTGGCCCGTCGGGGTGCCGACCGGGCCTTGACGGAGGCCGTCGAGTAGCAGAGAACCGTATAAATCCGCGCCGATTAGTACATGAATCGGGCGATTACAAGAGGGATCGGGATCTGCTAACGGTAAATCGCGTAGATGCGGCCACATTGCGGCTGGCTTTGTTTGAGAGGCTGTGTACGAAGTAATTCGTTGGTATACGTAGCCCGAAAATAGGAATATCGGTCCCTGTTTGTCGCATGGCGCGAGCGTGAGATTAACTTGAGATCGCGCGACTCCATTAAATTTCTCTTCGAAGCAATGTATTTTTAACGCAGCACGATGACGCTTGGTTCGCATAGTCTGACAAAGAGATTCGGATATGAAACTGTATGTCGAGCTCTGATCTAGTAGCGCACGTACTTTGAATGAGCGGCCCTCGATAGTACTTAGATTAACATACGCAGTGGCGAGAAGTACATGAGGCGGTTGCGTTACATCTCGAATAGCATGCACGGTTTGAACGGACGCGGAGGGCGCGGCCGGAGGCTCGGGAGCAGCGGCGACAGACACAGCTGACGGCGCGGAGGACGGCGAATTAATCGCGGCTGTACCCTCGCTGTGAAGCAGCGAATGGTGAGCTTGCCGGCATCGATTGCAACGTCCTTTACTCGGACAATTCTTTAAATAATGCTCGGTCCTCAAGCAATTGAAGCAACATTCATGCTGTCGCGCTACGAGTCGACGCTGCTCAATCGGCAAACTTAGAAATTTATCACACTTTGTCAGACTATGATTTCCGGAACAACGGACGCACTTAACGGGCGACACATTATTAATCGACGTACGAGATTTGTTTCCGCGCGTATTGCTCGACGCGGAGTCGAATTGCGACGGATAATCCGTGAGGCCACGTATGCGAAGAGTCATGAAGTCATGAATCTCCTTGTACGTGGGGTATGCATCCGTATCGCCTCGCTTCAAATTCTATTCATTGCGCGTTCGCGGACTAAACTTTTGCGATATAATGTAAACTAGGAGGTCGTCCCACGTATCGACAGGACGCTCGAGATTCGTTAAAGCGGCGAGAGCCGCAGACACGCTATCGCAAAGTTTTTTCAATTCGAGAACATTCTCGGTTTTCATTTTTGGTAAGTCGGCGAAAGAATGGATGTTCACGTGAATAATCGCGTTACGGTTGTCGTACTCGTCGAGAAAAAGTTGCCACGCTGCCTCGTAGTTCGCGTCAGAAATATGAATATTATTAATTAACACGGCAGCCTCGCCGGAGAGGCTCGCTTTTAAGTAATGTAACTTTTGAGTCTTCGTGAGGGACTTGTTTTTGTCGACGAGTGACTCAAAAATTCCCCGAAAATTTTCCCATTCCGGGAAAGCACCCGAAAAGTTTGGAAGCGAAATACGAGGCAGATGCAATGACATGCCGAAGTGCGCGTCGCGATAAGATGATTCGTTACCTCGGTACGGCGCGCTCGGGGCGTCGTTACTTAATTTACCGATGATCTCGTGGAGATGATCCGCCGCGTCAAAGTAGAGGCTTCCTCGGCGGCAAGAAGGTCGTCCTGTTGGAAGTAGGGGGTCGATTTCTTCTCCTCCGGGGTGGCCGTCTGTAGCAGCAGGACGTGGAGGGCTCGAACATTTTCCCTGAGGCCTTCCAAATTTGTCAGTCTCCCCTTCGTCTTTAGGAGAGTGACCTGAGCTTTGGGAAGCTTTTTAAAGTTTATCAGCGATCGCTTAAGTGTAGCAATCGCATCGCCTTGGGCGATTAGCAGATTTTTGAGATCCAGAGACATGTCCGCGAGATGGTTGGATCTTGTAGGCGAGGATCTGACACCTGTGTGTCAATCCGATCGAAGAGCTGGTGCTCTTGAAGACTCCGCGGCGAGAAGCAGGACGATACTCGCGGGAAGCAGAGACGTCAGGCACGTCTCAAGGCAGGGCGCCCGTCGGGCGGCGGTGAGCGTATCTCAGCACGATACGTTTTGCTGGAGGTCACGCAGGAGTCTCCGGAGCAGAGCGAAGCCGGGTAGCACCGGGCTTTTTCGACACTGGTGGACACCTATCTTTAAGTGAGCGGGTGCAGAGCGCTCGGGTTGGTCGATCGAGAAGAGCGTAGACGCTCTTATGCGTTTCCGCGGCGAGCAGCAGGGCGATACTCGCGGGAAGCAGGGACGTACAGCACGTCGCAATGGCAGGACGCCAGTCGGGCGGCGGATGCGTATCGCGATGATACGATTGCTGGAGGTCGCACAGGAGCCTCCGAAGCACTTCACAATTCACAGGGCACCAATCTTTAGGAGAGCGGGTGCAGAGCGCTCAATGTACAGAGTGAGCCACGGAGTCACGAACGCGTATCGCGGAGTACCCGATGAACCGGGAATCAGATTCGCTGTGCGACGGTTCGAACGGCGAACTCCGTTTGCGAGCGAGTCGAGCGGGCGCGACGGTCCGTCTGTCTCGGAGCACAACGCGATCACTATGGAGGCGGTCGAACTGTCTATGCCGGTTTTTTAGTTAGCACTATCCAGCTCGAAGGACCATTAAATGTTAAGTGGACCGCTCCGGGTTTTCGCGCGGCGAGTCGAGGACAGTTCAAAATAATTAGGTTCTCGTTTTGAAAAATGTAACAGTCAATTTATTAAAGTTTGTTACACAGCACTCGCTTTACATTCGCTCCGATTCGTGGTCCGTTTTCGATGTCGACAATCAGTGTCGCGTACGAATGGCTAGGGCGCACTTGGCTCACTGAGCTCCCGGCCGGAGCAAGCGAAGCGATCGCGGCCGGAGCTTCAAACTTTTCCGCGAGGAAACTTAGATACGTGAGAAACGCTGATTGGCTCCAAATCGTCGAGCGACCAGACTATTGGTCGCTGTACGAGCGATCACGCGATGTGCACCTGTGTTCCGGGCGCGAGCGAAAACACCAAAAAAACCAGGGGGAAGGCAAATAAACGTTTTGGAGCAAATCGAGCGTTCTCGAATATTCCCAACGCTCGCTTTCACTTTGCGAACGTTAGATTTTCAACAATCACTAAACAATTTGATAATAAGTACTACATAGTTTAGTTGGTTCAACTAAACGCAAAATCTGCTTTTTTTTATGTTTATAATTATTACAAAATGTTTTGTTATTATTATTATATTCTGTAATAATAATCAAATATTAAAAAAAAAACTATTACTAAATGCATCTCACAAGCTTACCAAGAATTTTTCTTTTAAAATAAAAAAGTATATTTTATACCACCAATCCGTAAAAAAGATTCCAAAGAAAATAAAGCAGGCATTTCTCGCGGAAAATTAGTGGATAGATTTCGCAATGACATCATTAATTCTGCAAATTATTCAAAAAAATCAGATGAACAAAACATTATTAACACAGGTATTTCTACATAAAAGCAGAATTGCATTCAAAATTATTTAAAAACATGTATAAAAGTATTGAATTGCAATCTTTGTTTTAAAATTCGTCTTTTAAACCTTATAACATTTATGCACAGCCTTCGACACTGCGGAACAACATAGGATTTGGATAATTCATAACCAAAGTTCAAAGGAAAAAGTAATAAAAAAATAGGACGAATCATATAACTTATTACGTAAGAATGATTGCGAAAACAAATTATTCAAGAACATTAATGTTATGATAAAACGATGGTCGATATTGACTTCAAATTTCGGATATGAATTGGTAATATGCCTAAATTCAAAATATATAATTATCATAAAAGTTATATACATATTTTGAATTTATCTCATTCAATTGCATTCTATGAAATGTATAACAAGTGATGAACATTTCTTTACACATTTTCAGAATATTATGGCGATCAAATAGTCGTACCGTTGTTCTGTTATTATGATGATTTCGAAACTGGAAATCCTTTGGGAACAGCAGCAGGCATTCATAAAGTAGGTGCATTATACAGATCTATAGCGACTCTATCGCCTGAATATGCCTCCTCATTAGAAAACATTTTCTTAATACAATTTATTTCTTTCTCTGATAGAACGCACTTTGGAAATTCCAAATGTTTCCATAAAGTCACTGAAGAAATGAAATTTTTAAGTAACACAGGAATCGTTATACGTGATACGAAGAATAATGCAACTAGAGTATATTTCGTTGTAATAGCTTTATTAAGAAATAATTTGGGCCTTAATAGTCTTTTGGGTTTCAATGAGAGCTTTATTAGCGAATATTTTTGTCGTTTTTGTAGAGCTCCAAAATCTGTAACACGCTGTGCAAAATTTGAAAATCAAAGTTTATTACGTACATGTGAAAATTATGCTCAAGATATTGCAGACTTTTCACGTGCATGCGGTATTAAAAAAAATTGCGTGTTTAATGAAATCCCGCATTTCAATTGTACGACAAATTTATATACGGCCGATATAATGCATGATATCTTTGAAGGTGTGTGTCGATATAATCTCGCGAAGATCATACAACATTTTGTGAATAAAAATTATGTGACATTAGAGCACTTGAATTATCGGATCAAATATTTCAATCATCAGTCAGACTTTGATCGGGGAAATAAAATCCCTTTGATTAGAAACGATCATATCAATAAAGATCATTTAATAATGAGCGCAGCTGAAATGTCAGCGTTAGTGTGCTATCTCTCTCTTATCGGAGATCTTGTGCCCGACTATGATGAAGTTTGGGATTTCTATCTTATATTGTGTGAAATTATTAAAATAACCACAGGAAATATTATATCTGATGATCAAGTAAATTATCTAAAATATTTGATTTTGTCACATCATGCGAGATGTATGTGCGATTATTCAACGAAAAATTAAAACTTAAAATATCATTTCATGATTCATTATCCTGAAATTATTCGAAGAATGGGATTATTAAAATATTTGTCGTCTATTCGGTATGAGGGATTTCATAAGTTATCAAAAACTTATGCATCTATGTTGTAACTTCTCGAAGAAATATTATTTCATCACTTGAAATAAAATTACAACTTCAATTTTGTTGCAGATTATTAATCAAAAAAGGTCTCAATGACTCGTTAAAAATAGGGAAATATATAGGGATAGCGTCGATTGAATCGACAAATGTTGCTGAAATAGATTATAGTGGACGCTTGACTGAAGTATCGTGGATAAGATTTAATAGTACTTTATTTAAACGTGATTTTGTAGTAATTACAGATTCAGATGAAAATAATTTATTATTTGGAATAATAATTCATATTAAGTTGGATGAAAACAAAGATATTTTTGTTTATTACAGAAAATGCGTTATTTTAGGTTTAGATATGCATTAGCATATGAGATTTTATTACCTGCGTGCGAAAATAGTCTGACAGATTTAAATGTAATAAAGATTTCAAAGTTACTAAACATAAAAACATGCAATTATCATATTTCGGGCGATGGCAGATATTTTATTTTAGTATTTGACATTTAAAAGCTATTTTGCGTTCAACTTATAACTACTATATTTTGTACTATTATTTGTGAGAAACAATAAATAATTTTGTATTATATATCAAGGACTGCTTTATAAGCTATATATATATATATGTATAAGTTCATATATTATATATAAGCTCATACTATTTTAATATTTGGAAAAATTAGTATTACAAACTATTTAGTTTACTGAAATATTTGATTACAGTTACCCTATTGAAATTCTTTCACAAAATATTATAAAAGAAAGTTTATATATATATATGTGTTTTGTGTCCGGTATATTATTTAAATATAAATAATTATAATTCAAATAATATATCGGATACAAAATACATATAAACTTTTTTAATAATATTTTGTGAAAGAATTTCAACAGGGTAGATGTATTCAAATATTTTGAACTAAATAGTTTATAATACTAATTTTTTATGTAACTGTTACTAAATCATTAAATTTTGTACATTAAAACAATATGGTAATATGTAATATATAATTTGGTAACTATTATTAAAAAGTTTTGTAATACTTCAAAATATTTCATTACAGTTATCACATGATTTTAAAATATTTATCAAATAATGTAATAATTATTACTAAACAATTTGTTTATATTTACAAATTATTTAAATATATTTATTATTTCATTTCTTAATATTTATTGAACAATTTAATAATTATTAACAAACAATTTGTTTACAATTAGCAACTTATTTTGTTATAATTATCAGAGTAGTTTGATAATATCACCAGATAGCTTAGTCACATTAATAACCATCAAGCCTGGATTATTATAACCAAGCCTTTTTTTCAGTGTAGTCGCCTTTACGCGAACCTACCTACCAAGAACTTTTCTTTTCTTCCGCACGCACTGTATCCGAACTTACGCCGGATCTCGCTCACAACTCACGACACGACACGTGATAAGTTATTACTAATAACTCGGTTAACGCGAAACAAGATGAATGTCACCCGTCACATCACACGAAACTCGTGGAATTCGCCGCACGCTCGAGGTTCAAGCACGTATGCGGGCGCGCGCGGAGAGCGACTGAGCGCCGAGACCGAGAGACGGCGAGAGATCCCTGGTTTAGGAACCTCTCTGCTACATAGCCTGTGGAGGGGATAGGCTGTGGAGGGGATAGGATCGCGTCACGTGACGGCACACAAGCCAAGCGCCCCGTGTACATGTGCGCTCAGCGCTCGGCCGGCCTCGGCCAGCTAGAGCAAACAGGCTATGCTCTTTCTTTTTCTCTCTTGAACCGGCGCGTCATCAGCCTCGCAGACGAAATACGTATATTAGCGGCTTGACTGTCGCGTGCCTCTTTCTACACTAGATGCGATCAGATGCGATACACTATCATATCGCTTAATAATTTTACAATTTAGAAGTTAAAATCATTAATTAATTAAATTATAATTTCTTGTGTATATAAAAAGTATTAACTTAAAATTAAGGAAATAAAGGATAGAAAAAGAAGATAAAATCCACTCTTGGCCAACGTGTACGTCTTTTTCTTACAAAATCATCTGTTAGTAAGTTAAAAAGATGATTTATAATTAGCACAAGAAAATGTAAACAAAGAATTTATATTAAGGTTTTATTACATGCTAGTGGATAAATTATTCTAATAATATATTTGTTATTTCACTAATAGAAAATATATGTAATAAAATAAAAGTAATAAAATATATGTAATAAAATAAAAGAGATAAATTATTTTTACAACAAAATAAATAATTTTTTAAATAAAGCTGAAGGTTTATTTGAGCCAACGCATGATATTTCCATACAATGTACTTAAGATTTCATATTTGAATATGGTTCGTCTTTTCATTTGGAATTAATGATTAAAATAACAAAATTTTCGATTTTTGGTAAAATCAAGAAAAATATCGAGTAAAAATAATTAAGCAAGGAACAAATATTTTTGTTATGTAAATTTTTTTTTAATAGTCGACGTACACATTGTTGCTCAACGGAAACCGCGAGAAGGTGGTGGTCTCTTCCGTCTCTCTCTCTCTCTCTCTCTCTCTCTCTCTCTCTCTCTC